AACTGCCGTCACCCGAAGAGCACCAGCTGCGGCAGACCTGGTTTGGCGATTCCGGCTTATGTTTTTCAGGAGGGGAAAAATCACACAGACACAATTATTCGTCGATTCCCAGAAATAGTGGAAAATATGGGAAGCGGGGGGGAAGACAGAAACCCAGAAAATATAGGAAAACATGGGGGATCTTTTTATTTGTGTGTATTTATTTGTGTGTTTGTGGGCCCCTTCAGTTTTGGGCTTCGGGGCCCCATCACTGACATCGGCCCTCGCCCAGGGGGTGCCACACCGTCCCCCCTCAGGGGGTGACGGTGTGCTTGGCATCGCTCGGACGTGTGCATCTTTCCTTCGGCGAGGACCATCGAGGAGCATCCTTGACCATTTGGCGAAAAAACCACGCACGAAGCCGAAAAAAACACAGGGAATGGACGTCCCAGCGATGGCGAGTGTGGCACCGCAACCCCGGCCCCAGACTCCCGACGCCATGAGTTGTTCATGACGTCGACCCCCAGAAGGCTCGACACGCTCCACGGTCCAGGGTCCCGGCGGGGGCCCCCAGAGGCCGAACGTTGGCAAAAGCTTCCCGTCGTGTTTTTTTCCATGGCCTGCCGAGGGACCGGGCCGCACCCCGCCGGGCGCGCCAGGACAGCAGGCCAGTCACCATTACGGCGACGACGGTCTCCGGGAGGTCACCCAGCTGTTCGACGAGAGCAGCATCTGGCCGGGCCAGGCGCGCGAGGCGTTTCTCCCGGGCATGAGGCCGCAGCCCGCTGCCCAGCTCGGTGGCCCCTCCAGATCTGGGGCGCGTTAGGGGCAGCAGAGATGATGATGATGATGATGATGATGATACTGATGATGATGATGATGATGATGATGATGATGATGATGATGATGATGATGATGATGATGAGGATGAGGATGAGGATGAGGATGAGGATGAGGCTGAGGATGAGGATGAGGATGAGGATGAGGATGAGGATGAGGATGAGGATGAGGATGAGGATGAGGAGGAGGAGGATGAGGATGAGGATGAGGATAAGGATAAGGATGAGGAGGAGGAGGAGGAGGAGGATGAGGAGGAGGTTGAGGATGAGGAGGAGGATGAGGAGGATGATGAGGAGGAGGATGAGGACGAGGATGAGGATGAGGATGAGGATGAGGATCATGAGGAGGTGAGGATGATGCTGTCTATGATGATGATGGTACAGATACTGATGCTAGTAATGATGCTGACCATAATGGTGATACTGATACTGATATTGATACTGATTACCATGATGATGATGATGATGATGATGATGATGATGATGCTGATGCTGATGCTGATGCTGATGCTGATGCTGATGCTGATTACGATGCTGATACGGAGGAGGATGTGGAGGAGAAGGAGCAGAAGGAGGAGGTTACGGATGTGGATGAGGATGATGAGCACGAGGATGAGGCCGATGAGGATTAAGCTGATAATGACGATGATGCTGATGATGATAATGATGGTGGTGACGATGGTGATGATGGCGCTGCTGGTGATGATGATTGTAATGAGGACGGTGATGATGTAGATGATGATGATTGTGATGACGATGGTGATGGTAATGGTGATGGTGTTGATGATGATGCTGATGATGATGATGATGATGACGATGCTGATGATGGTAGTGATGAGGCTGACGACGACGACGCTGGTGACGATGATGCTGCTGAAGTTGGTGTTGCTATTGACGATGGTGTTGATGATGCTGAAGTTTATGGCGATGATGGTAATATTGATGAGGTTGATGTATATGAGGATGGTGGCATCGCCAACATCATAATCATCAGCATCACCATCATCGTCATGATCGTAATCATCATTTGCGTCAACATCGGCGGAGGTTGTCTTAACCTGACCCTAAACTCGAGGGAAGGAACACAGGGACCACGGCTAAGATGTCGTTGGATCTTGTCGATGCCGATCTTGATCATGGTCCATGTCGGCCGTCGCCGATCCGCGAGGTGACCTTCCCACCGACCAATTGACGCTGACCAGGAGCGACGGTGACTAAGATCGCCACAGCGTCTCCGCGCTCAGTCTTGGTCATGGCCCCCTTCTCCACAGAAACACGCAGCTCTGCGCAGCGAGGCGGCATAGGGGGGGGGCCGCAGCGGGCCGCCGCTTCCGGGGCCCGGCATCCCTCGCCTCGGGCGTTTTTTTGCTGACTCCGCTCGAAGAGGACACGCAAGCAGTCGATCGGCGGCGAGCGATGGGAGGACATGCGGAGAAGAAGGCATCTCGGAGGGCGGCGGGACTGCTCAGCAGCCCTCGCGCTTTCCGAGGAGCTGTCGTCGCGGAGAGCTTCGAAAGCTTCTCAGAAGGCCTGGGGACTTCCGAGCCTCCTGAGCAGGCCCGCTCCTTCTCACTCCCCGCCCTCTCGCTCGCCGCCGAGTCGAGGGAACCGCCTCGCTCGTTCTGTCGCTGGCCTTCTCCCATCCCGGTGCCCGGCGGCCGCTTCGACCCCCCCCCCCCCGCGGGCCTGCAGCAGAGTTCGGCCCTCGGCGAATGGGGGCGGGCCCCAGGGACGGGGTCCGAGAGATCCGGGTTCCCCGCACCCCAGAAGAGCCTCACTGTCTTCCCGACCTTCCAGGCGGGCAGAGCATGAGCAGATCAAGATCTTGATATGCAACCAAAACATTCATTTGATTCATTATCACCCTTGAATATACAAAATAAGATAAACAACATTGATAGCAGTCCACAGCAGGGCCTCGGAGCGCTGAGCGAACAACAATCCCAGTCGAGCTCTCAGCCTGCTGGCGGTCGGCCGGTGCAGGCCTCCGGGTCGTGTGTGCTTAGCACTCCGGAGTGTCCAGGGCCCCCGCCTCGGCCTGGCCGCCGCCCACCCGCCCAGGGTCCCGACTCCGGAGCCCCCTGGAGAGCTTGTCCCCGAGTTTGCCAGGTTCAAGTCGGGCGTGTCCCCCCACAGGGGGATCTTCGACGAAAATAGAAGATGCCCCAAAATTGCCCCAGAAGGGTAAAAAATACTAAAAAAGTAGTCCCTGGACTATTTTTTGATTTTTTTTTTTTTTTGTATTTTTTTATCTTTCGTCGAAGGTCCCCCTGTAGGGGGACAGGCCCGACTTGATGTTAGGCTCGTGCCGTGTCGACGCGGCAACGTCCCCTGCGCTGGCGTTCCGGGCTGCACGCCGCAGGTGGCCCCCTTTGCATGGCATCTTGGCCCACGTGGTGTTGGGCGACGCGCGCCGTCGGGAAGCCGCGGCCGTGCAGGGCTGAGCGATCCACGCGGCGTCTCGGCAGGTGAATTGCCCAGCCCTTTGCGGGCCCCGGAAACGGCAGGGCCGTTTTTTCACCGTTTCCCCAAAACTGTCCTTTGAGAATGGAAACGGCAAAAAAAACGGCGACCAGAAACGGCAAAAAAACGGCTCCAGGATTGGAACCGGAGCCTGAACCGGTCAAAAAACGGCGGCTGAACCAGTAAAAAACGGCGTCGGAACCGGCAAAAAACGGCAAAACGGAACCAGTACAAAAACGGCCCTGTCGTTTCCAGGGCCCACTAAGGCCCAGCCCACCCCGCGCTCGCTTCCAGGCAAAACCACATCAGACCACGCGCCTCCTCGTCCAGCAGCCTGAGCGATGCGGGCTCCACCCCAGAGGTAGCTTGTTAGGTTCTCAGCTCCTGTTTGGAAGCGAGGTGGTCAACAGCGGTGCAGGTTCTTTTGCCTCTTAGTGTCAGGAGCCTGCGCAGAAGTCGGCACGACACGAGCTTGCAGCACCCCTGGCGAGTGCGGCATGCGTGGAGGCGTCAGGCAGCGCCCATCGGCGGCAGCGTGGCGGGCAACTCCGCTCCCCCCCCAAGAGCGGACGCCTTGCCGATACACCTCCCCCAAGCTGCCGCCTGCCGCGGCGTGCCACGGGCAGCGGGCGAGGACGGCTACGGGGGGCGGGGGAGGAAGTGCACGGCGCGGCAAGGGGCCCTGACGTCTTCGCACCGTGGAGAAATCACGACGCGAGGGTTTGGGCAATGGCCATCTTGACGGTGTTGCCAGTGCCATCGGGCATCCCCAGCGGGCAGCTCGCTTTCACCCTTGTTCGGCTGGTCGGCGCTCGAGGCCAACAACCCAGAGACCCGAGCTGCTCAGACTGCGCCATCGCTGGGCCAGGTTCTGGTCTGGTTCTGGTCTGCGAGTGTTCGGCCTCCGGGGGCCCTTCTTGAGCCCCGCGGCCGAACAGAACGACCCAGGATGAGAAACCGGTCCCCGCGAAGGGGTCCAGAGCTCTGGGGGTCCACGCTGTGAGACAATCGCGACGACGGATGCCTGGGGACAGGCAGCTCCTTCGGCATGGGGGGGAGGGGAGCCCTGGAGGTCTCCGACGTCCTGGTGCCCTCGCGCCCAGCAGGAAGCCTGCTCCTTCGCGGCCCCGTCTGGGCCAGAGATGGCCTCCCGAGGCCCAGGCCACGGGCCCAGACTCTGACGTTAGCCAGCTCGCGGCGTTGGCTATCGGATCTCTGCCCCGCAAGCACAAAAACAACAGCGGAGCGCGACCTGTTCTCGCCGGCCGCATGGGAGCAGCGTTGTCACAAGACACACTCGTCCCAACCTCCTGCCATTAGGTTTGTCCGCTGGGTGTGTCAGCCCGGATGAATCCAACATGTCAGTCTCTCCCTGATTCATCGGGTTGCATCAGGCAAGACACCAGTCTCTGCATCGGGTCGCTCCTGGGCCGGTTCTCGCTCATGTGCGATTAACCAAAGTTTTGTGGGCAATTTCGTGACGCATGACGGGCATGTCGCGTCGGCACGTACGAACACAACTGCATCGGGTTCCGTGCTCCGTGGTGGTACTTCACGTGGTGAGGTTTGCTTGGGACGTGCCAAAGGCGCGCCCGTGACATTCGTTGCAAACAAAGTTGCCTAAATTCATGGGGCCCGCGTTCTCAGGTTCATGCTTGTCGCACATCAATGCGGCTAAACGCAGCTGGTTGATCAGTTCCCTCCTTTCGTGAGGGTGGTGTACAGGAGATTTATACCATGCCTCTCTGCCCAGCAGAGGTGTTGGAGCACGTCTCGGACGGTAGGTACGCAATTGTAGAGACGAGTCATGTCAGCAGCGAAGAACGTTGCACAGTGACAGCTTGGCTTTGAGGGGCCTGCGTCAGACCGTGCGAAACGGTCGCAATAGTTCGGCCTGCGTTGAATGATGTCGCAAGCAACTGACATAATGCTTGCTCAGCGCGAGCGACCAAATCAGATCTTTCGGAAGAGTCAAGGCGAACATCGTTGAACATGCGGTGGTTCACCTGTGCAGGGGCCATGAAGGACTTGAATTTCACTCGGTTTGAAAGTGGAGCGTGACAAAGGTCTTTCGTCACCGACCACCAAGGTGATGGTGTGTTCCGTGCGTGGTGCTTGGGCTTCTCGACCGTTTCGCCTTCCTCCTCCTCCTCCTCCTAGCTGCTGCTGATGCTGCTGCTGCTCCTCCTCCCCCTCCTCCTTTCCCTACACTTTTCCTTCCGCTCGTCGTCGTTTCCCTTCTCCCCCAGTCCCCCCTCGTCGCTCCGTCGTCCCCCTCCGTCATCTACCCTCGCCTCTTCCCCAGATCCTCCCTCCTCTTTCCGTCACTCTCCCTCCCCCCTCCCTCCTCCCTGCTTCCTTCCCTCCTTTCTCCCTCCTCCTCGCCTGGCCTTCGGCCAGCGATCGCCGTCGTGGCCGCCGTCGCCGTTGCCGCCACCACCGTCGTCGCCGCCGCCGCCGTCGCCGTCGCCGCCGCCGCCACCTTCGTCATCTTCATCGCCGTCGTCGCCGTCGTCGGCGTTAGCGTCATCGTCGTCGTCGTCGGCGGCGGCGGCGTCGGCGTCGGCGTCGGCGTCGGCGACGTCGGCGTCGTGGTCGGCGGCGTCGTCGTCGTCGTCGTCGGCGGCGGCGTCGTCGTCGTCGTCGTGGTCGGCGGCGTCGGCGTCGGCGTCGTGGCGCCCCGGCCGGCGGCCGCTCCGCCGCGCGGCGGGGCCCGCGCCCCGCCCCGTGCGCGCGGGCAGGGCGCACCCGCCGCCCGGGGTGGCGCAGCAGCACGCGCCGGGCTCGGCTGGCCGGGGGGGGGGGGGTCAGGGGCAACGACAGGGGGGGGGATGGGGCATCGGCTCCCCCTCGCTGCGAGTTTCTGAGGTTTTCGGCCGTGTGCGTCCGTTCGCGGCGGCCTGCCAGCCTCGGGACGCGTTCCAGCAGCTGTGCCTCGTCGAGGGCGTTCTGGGGGTGCCGGAATCGTTCCAAACGGCCGCTGGAGTGCCGAGTTACGGCTCGAAAACCACCTGGGGATAGGCATAGGGGGGGACGCATCGACACCCAATCGTACACTGATCACCGATAGGGGCCCGATAGCCCCAGCTTGCCCAGGAAGATGCGGACGCAGAGGCCTATCGCCGATCTATCGGCGATGTATCGCCGATTCCAGGTCGATGCATCCCCCCCTATGCCAGTCCCCCCCTTCTCGTTGCCCCTCAGGGGGGGGATATGGTCGACTAGACGTAAGAGTGACCTTTCGCCAGAGTGACCTTTGGTGGGGGCCCAACGGGGTCCCCCGATCGCCGAACGCGATGCGATGGTAGCATCTTGCGCGCTTGTGTTTGGTTCCCGCGCGGCCCCCCCAAAAGCCGCGCACCAAAGGTCATTCTTACCCAGGGTCACTCTTGCGTGCAGTCGATATGGGCAGGGCTCGTTGCGATGCCTCCGATTCGATTCGATTCGATGTCGGAGGCTTCCGAGTCCGACTCGACTCGGCTTCGGCCTGCGATGTGAGGGATCGACGGCTCAAAATGGAGACCTGCACAGGCCTGCCGATGTCTGCCGTTTCGACTTTTCCCCGACTCGGCGGCCGCTTTCCGCCGATCCGATTCGCGTGGATCGCCGATCCGACTTGTCGATTCGATTCTGTGGGCTCTCTCATGCATGGAGGGGTGCCGAGGCGGGGACGCTGCACGCCCAGGCCTCCGACGGCATGCTTTTCCAACCGAGATTCTCCTCCGTTCTGACCCCCGGGGGTCGTCTTCCTGGGCGTCTTCTTCGGGCGGAGGGCAAGGGGTGAAATCTGAAATGCCGTGTCCATTGATTTTCGAGGCCTGAATCTGCAACAGGGGAATCACAAGACGGATTGAGTTTCAAGGTGCAAAAGCCCATCTGAATTTCACCCTGAGCACTCCAGCCTAAGACAATGCTCAGTTTTCGGTCTCCGGGACTATCCGACATGGAGCCGGGTCGGAAAGCTCCCCCCGGTGGAGAGGTCGGGAGTTCTTGGGCCGCGGATCTGAAGCACTCATATTGGATTAAGTCGGGCGTGTCTCCCTACAGGGGGAATATTCAAACTAGTAAAAATGGGCACGATTTGTCTTACCATGTTTGATTGCTTTAGGTGTATTGATGGATTGTTTTAATATTTCATCCTAAATCCGCCTGTAGGAAAACATGCCCGACCTACATATTGGAGGATGCCTGGGCACGTATCAGAGGACGGTGACCCAACAGCGAGCACAGCTGAAGCAAGTCGCTTCGGTCCTGCAGGGGCACGAGTTCTCCTGGACGGTCTTGTGTGCGTTGCCTCCCAGGCTTCCTAGAAAGTTCTTCCTCTTTTGCTCTTGTCGTTCTCACCCACTCGCCATTTTCTCGTGTCCGTCGCCGTCATACTCCAAGGGAGGAGGAGGAGGAGGAGGAGGAGGAGGAGGAGGAGGGAGGAGGAGGAGGGGGAGGAGGAGGAAGTGGAGGAGGAGGAGGAGGAGGAGGAGGAGGAGGGGGAGGAGGAGGAGGGGGAGGAACATCGTGTCGTGGCGACACGGCGGCGGCCCCAGCGCGCGGGCGTCGAGGTTGAAAAAACGCCGCCCGTGGCCCAGGAGCGGCCGATCTCGAGCGGTCCTCGCGGCGTCGGAGGCCGACGACGGCGTCGTCGCGCACGAGCTTCCCTCGAATGGCCTCCAGGCAGTCAGCCCGCATAGCATGCAAGGAAGACCAGCCTCCTACGGGTTCAGGAGGGAAAGAAACACACAGACACAATGAATCGTCGATTCCCCGGATAGCATGGGAAAATATGGGAGGTGGGGGGAAGACAAAAACATAGAACATATGGGAACATATGGGGAATCTGTTTGTTTGTGTGTCTTTATTTGTGTGTCCCAGGGCCCCTTCACAGGTGCCCTTGCATCCTTGTTTCTTCGGTCGTCTTCGGTCCATCCTCAACCACTTCTGATGGCCGGCCCCGCTCGGAAAGCCTCGGCATGGGCGTCCAAGGCCCTCGCATCCATACTCGGTACAGCCAGGGCCCCAGGTAAGGGGACCCGGTTAGTAGTAGGACCCTGGAGCCCCTAAATTGGCCAGAGTCATTAAACCAGGTCTGCCGTAGCTGGTGCTTTTTCGGGTGACGGCAGTTCCGGTAAGTGGAACGGGGCGGGGGGGTGTCCCCCAGTACACATCACTAAACCAGGTCCGACTAAACCAGTTCTGCCAACGCCCGACATACCGCGCATCGTATACGGGTTGACGATGCGCTTTTGCATGCACATCGTCAGTAGCCAGTTTGGCCGAGAAGGGTCTCCAAAGGGAAGACACCTTAGCCCGGGAGGGACAACAGAGCTTGATGCGGCGTGGGGAACGGAGGCGAGGGGAGGGGGGAATGGGAGAGGAGGGAGGAGGGAAGGGAATGGAGGGGCAGGGATGGGAGAGGAGGGGAGGAGCGAGGAGGGATGGGAAGAGGAGAGGAGGGAGGAGGGAGGAGGCCTGATTGGCTCAACCTGGGGAGGGGAGACGCGAGGAGGGATGGGAGAGGGGAGGAGGGAGAGGAGGGAGAGGAGGGAGAGGAGGGAGAGGAGGGAGAGGAGGGAGAGGAGGGAGGAGGGAGGGAGGAGGGAGGAGGGAGGAGGGAGGAGGGAGGAGGGACGGCAGAGGAGGGGATGGGGAGCGGAGGGCGGGAGCGGAGGAGGCCGGACTGGGCTGAACTTGACCGGGGAGCGGAGGGGGAGCGCCAGAGCCATCGGAGGGGAGGGGTGGTGGGCTCCTCCTCCTCCTCCTCCTCCTCCTCCTCCTCCTCCTCCTATTCTCCTCATCCCTGCCAGCAGGTGCTCCGCGGGGCTCACTCAATCCTTGCTGGCCCTAGGGGACCGCTGAATTGTTGCGGCGAAGTGCTGAATGGAGCGTCGACGGCGGATGCGCTCTCACCCGTTTGCACGAGGGATGAGACCCGCCCTAGCCTAGTGTTGGAGGGATACCTACTAGGGTATGTCCGTGGGAGCCTGGGCTATCGGCGGAGGGGCCACGCTTCGGCTGTAGATGTGCTCGAATGCTCGCGACCAGTGCTCTCGTGGTCACGCGTCGGCTGTAGATGTGCTGCGCATCATATGCAGCGGTCTGGACGTGGGTCGAGAATGAGCCGAAGAAACGGAGACATAACATGAAACATACACTTTCGGAGGTCCGCGCGGATTTCTTGGATCGGGGCGGGACCCCCCTGGCGGCGCCTCTGGCGCCGCCCTTGGCGCGCTCCGCGCGCCAGGAAGGTGGGCACAGCGCCGATCCAATAATGCCGCCAGGACCTCGGAACATGTTGTTCGGTAAGTTGTTTCCTCCTCGAGGGAGGGGAAGACTGTAGAAACCGAAGGCTGAAAACTGCAAAAATGCAAAAATGCAAAAAAACAGTCGTTGTACAGCTCTTCGTTTTTTCCCAGTTTTCAGTTTTCTTTGTTCTTCCAGTTTTTCATAAAAGCAGCAGAGGAGCCGGCGGAGCTTGGCGCCGCGAGGGGCGTGTGGCAAGCCCAGACCACAGCGCTTGGCCGCGGGCACGTGCGAGGCGCGACCGCCCCCCCCCCCCCCCACCCCATCCAGGGTGTGCGTGACTTCCCGTGGCCTCCGAGGCAGGTGTGAGGGAGAGAGAGAGTCAGGAAGGAAAAAAAAAACACAGACACAACTATTCGTCGATTCCCCAGAAAATATTGGAAAATATTGGAAGTGGGGGGGAAGACAGAAACCCAGAAAATATGGGAAAATATGGGGAATCCTTTATTTGTGTGTATTTATTTGTATGTCCCACGGCCCCTTCAGAGAG